AGGCACGAAACAAAAGACCTTTTATGTCCATGAATTTCAGCCTAATGGTTCTGGATTGTACTCAAACAACGCGAAGCGCACTCTGTGTTGTCCTTGGCCGATCTGTTCATCGAAAGCACACCTGGATGGGTTAATATCTGTATTTCACCACTCTCGTCCCCATCCGTTAAAACGAGGGCTAATGAGGACACTTTATGACCACGCGCGAAAAATTCCTATACCTGATAACATCGCAGATGAAATGCCAAAACTGAATAGCACTCTGCTGGACAATGGCTACCCGAGCTCATTCGTCAAAAAGTATAGCACTGTACGTCCGAAGGTAGAGGGACCGATATCCGTACCGGAGTGTTTGTCCTACAATTGCCGTTCAAGGGTGATGATGTGAGTAATTTGTTGGAGCACCATCTAAGCCCGTCCATCAAACGACATAACTGAACCAGTTTTTGTGTACACATGTGACAGAATATCGGCTCCTCCAGTGAAGCAACCACTTTCGCAGTATGCCAAATACCATCAGTCATATCAATTCGTCTGTGGGTTCCCGTTCACCTACCTAGACAGAACCAAGCGGCCGCTCAGAGAGAGTAACCGAACGCATCCCCGAATGATCAAGATCAAAGGTCAACCCAACGCCGCACACCACCGTCATCGATCGCTCGTCAGCTGTTGACCACTGATCATCAAGTGCACGTGACCACGGCATTTAAAAGTGTCCTCATCATGCAAACTCTCGGTTGCTCCGGGTTTGCGAGGCGATTGCCACAAAACGATGGAAGCCTGAACTGTGCAAGCAGAAATAGTTATTTGTAACTATAGCCCTTGGTAGAAACATGGGCGAAGATAACCCCACCAACTCATCCACGGTAACTGTTACTTGTCGGTTCTCATTATATTCTTTGACTGTAGTATGTACCTGAAGAGATACAGCGAAATTTTTCCGGCAATACCGTGCTGATGTGTTTTTTATTCAGTTTCATATCCCGAAAAGGTTGTTTCAAGTATAAAAGAATGTGTACAATAAAACAAATAAAAACATTGGTAATCTTCTTATCTTAATCTGCTATAACTGTTTGATCTCCAGATCAACGGTTCTGTTTTGTATCCCCTATGTTCCGTTATTATTGTTGGTGTTGGCATCATGCTCGTTCGCAAATGAGTAATATATGTATATAATACCAAGGTGTTCTTGTGCTTGGGTTATGACTACTTCCTTGACTTGTTCGTGAGTTGTATTTAAAATTGAGACATTGCAGTGCTTGGAGTGCAGGTTTATTGCTTCCTGTAGCTTGTTTATTGACCTCCACTTCTCGTTCTTCCTCCGTGAATCCCCCTACGCACTTCACAAAATCATTTGTTGGACGAAACATCTATAAAAAGAATGACGTCACACTTATCCCTGTGGTCCGAGAACTTGTTCGTGTGCAGTGCATCAAATGTGGAACAGTCAAAAAAATTGTCGTACATGATGTGAGTACAGTTGCACTGTTTGGTTTCATATTTTCCTCAGACGTGTCGTTTTTAAACTTGATCACTGTTTCTGACTGTTGATTGGTGCTGGTCCGGTGATCATATCGGTGCATAATTGATGTTCTATCTTATGCGAGAACGGGTGAGTGCTAGACTGGACTGATTCAAAGGTGATATTTTTCCGGAGATCGTTTGTGAATGAATGCAGGGTTGGGGTGCGTGGTTCACGCATAGTTTATTTTCTTATTTCAACACAACCAATTACACAGGACTGGTGAACGTGCCACAACATTCGAAGAGAAAATCTGTAGATGTTCATGGGTTGTGTGGGCGTATGATTTCCCGATTGCCCTGACCACGGAAGAGGGATAACCTCGAGGTCACCACCCGAAGCCTTTGGCTAGAAAGGCAGACCCGTAAGACAGCAGGAAAGAGCTCGGAGTTCGCAGTCCATTGGGGTCCGGTGTCCAGTTCATCGAATCATATGCCCTTTGAGCGGGGTAAAACGTTCAAGTTGTCCAATACACAATGATGCCCAACCGAAACGGTGACTACCGCCATAACCAGGAAGGTGTGTGTGGTTCTTACACCTTTTCTTGGTTGGTTTAGAATCAATGATTCACCAACTCTGCTATAGCGGCGGATGTTGGCTTTTCGTCCTCTCATTTTAGTGGGACCACCTGCACCAAAGAAAGATCTTGAGTAGCACTTCCTCAACGAAGGCTGTTTGAGACAAGGTCATAGTTTTATTATGGGATTTACTTATAAGTTTATGCTTCTCTTTTCCCCATAGGATATTTACACAATTGAATCGTTTCACGGTGAATGAAATCACATACAGTTCCAGGTAGGAGATTAAAAATAATGTAGCCTTCAGTGAATTTGTGTTTGCTTTAATGGTGTAGGAAAGTAAGGTTTAACTAGGTTTCATCGAGTTTCCGCTAGTTGATGCACAAACAACGTGAGATGGAAGGGTGTTCCAAATACTGCTTATTCTGATTGCAAAAGATTGGCGCCGGCATTCCAGTCAGTAACTTGATACGATATTCTTTAATGTGTACATTGTTCGATAACATGAGCAGCTGCCGACATGGTTGATTTGGGTTCTGCAGTCTCCCCGAATTCGGCGGTACTGAGCAGAATATAGTCCCAGTGATCGTAATCTCTCCTCATAGATTAGGCAATGTAATCCCTTGACCATCTTGGTGGACATTCTTTGTGGGCGCTCAAGCATCTTGCGATCACGTTGCAACCATGAGCTCCAAGCTTGGATGGTGTACTCTGTGTACGGTCGAATGTACACTGATAGAAAAAGTGGGAACAGTGCTGATGCAAACAAACCAAAGACTTGCCTAAGTAAGCCAACTTTCTTCACAGCAGCGGACTAAGCCTCAGCGGATTTGATCGAACAGCTCAAGTCCTCTTGAACAACAGTACCTAAGTCTTTTTCACTTGAAGTATGTAGTAGCTGCTGATTTCCGAGGAAATACGAGAATCTTCTCTTGTGGCGAAGGGATAGGACATTACATTTAGAAACATTGAATTCAGTGTCGTTCTCCTAAGACCATTGATAAGTTGCGTGATTCTTGAAGTGTTAGAGAACCCTCAGGTTCTATTACTGTTACTTTTGCGCGTCGGATTCCAGATTTTGGCGTTGTCTGCAAACAGTATTATTTTTGAATCTAACATTTTCGGTAGGTCATTCATGAATGAGAGAAACAAATGGGGACCGAGTACGGACCCTTGTAGAACACCGCGCGTGGCATTGATTAATCCGGATATGGAATCAGAAACACGAACTGATACGGTCCTTTGTTGGAGGAATGCTCTAATTCAATCAAACACGAAGTCTCGAATGCCGTAATTGTAGAGCTTCTGTTACAAGATTCGATGATTCACCCGATCCAGTGCGTTCGAGAAGTCAAGATAAATCAGATCCACCGCATCCCCTTCGTTGACTGTTCTGGTCCAATCATCTCGAACAAGAAGTAGGTTGGTGGAGAAGGATCGCTTTTGCATGAGCCCATGTTGAGCTTCCGAAAGAATGTTGGTCGTGTAGGAGGAGCATTTACGAAGCCTTTAGGAAAGGTTACCAACCACAACCCGAGACACCCACCCCCACCATACTACAGCTTTCGGAAGCTATTAGAATTGAAGCTTCGCAAACAGAGCGATGGGAGACACCCTGTTTTCGCAAGGGCCTTTCGCACTTACATGGGACAACGTGCATGTGAAGGGTGGCGCACAAATGCAATTTCACACTCCGGTTAGGTCGCGGCATCTGATCTGCTTAGATTGTTGTCTTCCTGGTCGATTAAGCGCATGGTTTGTGGTTAAATCGCGCTATTGGAAGACATCATCCGTTTCTAAAGTTCCGCACCACTGGGACGAAAGTGTGGTGTAATAAAGGTTAGAAGAACGATGAGTGACAGGACAGCATCGACTGTTCCGAAAATCTCAGCAATTCATTTTTTATTTTCGTTGCAGTTCCACACAGTTTCTTGGGTTTACTTGATGCCGAGTTTCGCGCCACTTTGGACGGATGAAATAGCTCTTGATTCGGTTTGGATAGCCTTGATTGGCTTGGCACCTACTTCTGGTGAATAAGGACGTCCATCTATTTTTTCAAATCCAAATTGGTTCGATAAATCAAATGCAGCTATGAATTCAGTCGGAGCTCAAACTGGCGCATGCAGTGTCATGACTCGTTGAAAGCCGTTAGGACATGCCGAAGTTTGGGGTGTTGGGAGATTCGGATTTCATGATATTTCAATGCGAGCAATGCTCCCTCTTCACGATGTAATCGATCAATATACCTATTAAATGCACCGAAATGCGTTGAAAACTCCATCAAAGTAGTTCTACGTATGTCACGATGTAGGGACAAAAGTTGGAGCCTGAGTAACGAGGTGAAGTTTTCTTCCTTTAAACGAAGAAGAAATACAGGAGGGCTGTATAATTGAAGTGTGAGAATGCAAGCATATGGCTACTTTTCTCAGCCTGCATTTATCAAACGGACTCTCTTCAAGACGGGAGTAGATTAGAAAAAGCCAAGGGTGGAGACACCGTAGTATTTAACAGATTCGGATTGGAGAATCACAAGCCTGTTTTCCTATATCTCCCCTTGGGATTTGTTGCCAATCGGTAGCGTGCGTAACTTCATGTTATGCCCAACACACTGGACTCTGCTTTGTAGCGGCTAGCACAAAGAGTAACGAGACAGGCATAGGTACAGACAGCCTAAATTTGTCTGCTTGACATGGGGTCACACATTGAACTGAAGCCAGACAGCGTGATGCATGAGTCACGAGTAATCAGCTGTTCGAAGGATAGACATGCGCGTTGCTGCGGCCCTACAATCGATCGACTGTCACCGTCTTTATCTGTGGGGAGGCTGGTAGGAAAAGGATGCATGTACGGGGACCAAAGAATCATCCACCTGATCGTGATATGCTGTCCCCGGATAAAGGTGTATGAATTCACAAATGTTTGATTGATTTCAACGAGATTTGTACGAAATGTGCAAAAATTGTCGTCAGGACAAGTGATGAAATTTTTTCCCTCTCTGAGTGTATTTCAAGCCGCTAAACCAACATTACAAAGAGCGCATCGGCCAACGTGAGACCCTGGCATGAATTGACAGTCCGAATAATTCTCAGGAAAGAAAATTTCTCCTCTTAAGGACCCCAAAACTTGACACTAGAACTTCGATCAAAAATAATAACATAATTCCGTTGTATACCAACCACGTCGGTGGAAAAACCCTCACCCTCTTTGGAAAATAAAACTGCATTCATTCATGTTTGTGATAACCAACAAAGAGCACTGGACAGCTGTTTCGTCCAGTTTTCGTCAGCAATGCGGACGTTTTGTGTCCCTGGTGTCTCTGACCAATCGAATGGGTTAATCCAAGCATGGTCATTCGTCTATCGAGGTACCATAGAGATGAATTAACCGCACCGAATTTCCGACCTGATGTGCTTTAAGAAAGCGACGGATGACACGTTTGAAACTGTTACACCCATTTTAGGTCATTTACCACCCGACAAACAGCAAATTACCCTAGTGATCCGAGGCCCTAATCATTCACAATCACAGACTTAATCTGTGCAGTTCACGCAAATGGTTGATCACACTAGATTTTGCTTTGGTGATTGGAATCCACCCCATTGTATTTGTGTTGCCCCTTTTTGCTGCTAATCTTGCCTTCATCTAATGCTCGTTATGTCACTGCGCTATGAGAATCACCTTGGCTGCAGGATGCGGTAAGATGATCGGGGAATAAATTCTACAAACCCGTGGTTTTCTGACTTCTCTATACGCAGCACTAGAAGTACCGTAAGCTGATTAATTTTCACAGACTTCATTTGTTCCGGAACCGCGCATCTGTCACACCATTCATGATAGATTTGAGTTGCTCTGTAACTCGCACTTCTTCGATATGTGCCCATCGTGTTCGTTTTGGCCCGAAAATTGGCCTTCACTTCAGTCCATGGTATCGATCTCTCCCTACTTTCCTTGCCGGATGTGTCCGAGTTTTGCTCTCTGCTATCAGGCTGCAATTTCGTTTCTGACTGCAGCATCCTGATCGGGGGTTTTATTATTATTAAACTGGTCATAGTGGAGTAAACCGCGGATAATTACAATTTTTTTGGGCATATACACATTGAGGTTGCCCAATACAGTTTGGTTCATGGTACGTTCGAAAACTGGTGTGAGCACATTTGAACACCATGTCGTAATGTGACTATGGATGGATAGCGTGTACTTGAAATGAAACCGTTCTTGTTCGGTGTCGTCCTCTGTTAACATTCTGTCGGTTTCACAAGCGATTTGGGGGTAATCAAGTATCTTTGATGTTGTTGCCTTTCGTCAAGTGATTAACTTCGATACTTTGTGATTGATATTTATCATCATCCTATTTTTTACTTGCAATTACTCGCCTTGTTCGTTCACAGACAAATCCACTTGGTGCAGTCAGTGTCACGTTTTCCACGGCTGAGGAAGCAGATACTGCACTGGCCTTCCTGAACGGAGCCTTGTTTAACTACCCGGGTTCCGGTGGCGCCCGTCAGTTACATGTAGAACGATGGGATGGAAAAACGAATTACTCGGTCCAAGAGGACAAAGATGAAGAGAAAAGCCGTATTAATAACTGGGAAGAATATCTTGGCGGTGGCGAGTCGTCTTCCGAAGAGGATGAGGGTACTAATCCAGCACCAGTGACAGAAACAGATGTTGCGTTAGCTTCCGCAACAACCCACAGTCCCAGTAGTAATCGGCGCGCACCGATGGAAGAAGACCAGGACTATTGGGACACAAGTTCACCTGAGCGAGCAGACACAGATGACGAGTTAAATGCCGGTGGAAGCAGTGGTGATGAGACTGCCTGAGTTGTACAGACATTGTAACAGTCCGCAGGGGTTAAAATTGTTTGTACACACACATTCGTATACATATACATATATACACACCACATTTTGCAGACATTCAGTTTTTGATAACCCTTACATTTTAGTGGACCGTACTGCACAGAATCAGATTCGAATTCCACACGCCTCTGGAACTGTAATTTGTCAGACAACGGATTTCATTGATGGAATATTGTACAAAACAGGAATTGCACAACAGAACGCATGTGCAGGCAATTTGAATGGTCCACGGGATTCAGTCACGATCGCCTGTGTTAGGAATAGCCAAAATTAGTGTAATTGTGAATTAGAAGCGCATCGGCCGTACAAAATACTATCAGTGCTATGGATGGAAAATGTCAGGACCTGTTTGCTAGGTGTACCGAGAGATTTCGGCTAATTTCTCAGATGAAAATCCAAGTCAATGATGTACAGTAGGAACAGGAATGGACCCAGTACCGACCCCTGTGGGACCCTACCATGTTCCTCTTTGTGGGAGACTTCCTCTTCTATCTTCACGTGGAAGCTCCGACTATTTAGGTAACAGTATATCCATCGTTTCATCTTTGGAGTCAGTCCAAACCATCAAAGATTCCTCATCATCAACCTGCGGTTGGCCGAGTCAAAAAGTTTTTGAAAGTCTGAGTAACAGATTTCCACCCTGTCTCCCCGGTCAATCGTATGCGTTAC